GTAACCTTTTGAGGCAACCCCCCCCCCCCCCCCCCCCCCCCGAATCTTAGCAGTAACATTGCTCAAAAACATTCAAGTGATTCACAGGCCCTCGAATGTGCATGACTCCCGAGAAGGTAACTGAGCAAGCTCTGAAAATGTACAGCATGTTCCCATGAGGTCACAACTGCGTTTGTCAGACAGCACATACCCATAGTCTCAAACAAACAAGATGATCAAAACTGCTTTTTATATTATCAAAATGTTGGGTTCAGCCTGAAATTGCAAATTCCATTGGCAATCATATATGTAGTCAGATTTTTGAAGATGTCTAAACACTGGGCAGCTTACATCATATCAAGATGCTGTTGCGTTAGGGAAAGGGATGTAAAAACATGTTGTTATCTCCACCTAGCCCTTCAGATGCTTTGCCAGAGACTTTGTTACTTGTGCTTTTGTGTATCATATAAGACATCTAAAATATTACACGTAGTGTAACCTGTTTCAGTAAGTGAGAAAAAAAATGTTGAAAGTGCAAGCCTTAAAGCCCAAAGTGAAACTATGGCATGGCTGTTGCTACTCAGAGGGCTTGCAGGGGAGAAAAGGATTAAAAAAGCCCAAACCAAACCAGGCATTCTGTTTTAAAACATTTCATTACATTCTAGCATGCAAAACTTACAGGAACGTTCCCAAAAGTTACCTTACTTCAGTGTATTGTCTAGAAACGCCTCTAGACTTGTGTAACATCCATGCAAAACAGAGTCACATTCTACCTTTAGGCACTTAATGCGACTCCACTAACGGAAGGCAAACACGTGCAGCCGGAGGCAGCCTTTGCTCTATGACTACAACTGCAGGGAAGCTCTCCAGCAGCTTTCCAGCCACGCGGAGTGTTCGGACTGCTTACAGGGCGAGTGTTTGTAAATATCGCATACACAGTATTAAAAATGAAAGCCCTGTACCTCCTCCCCTCCCAAAAGGGTATAAAAAATTATTTTAATTCTGGAGAAGGAGGAAAACTCAAGTACAATAGGAGACTAGCTCCTTATTTGAAAGTAAGTAATCCAGCCCAAAGTATGTGCAATTCCAGGCTTGCTACCAACCAACTTTTTGGAGTTTACGTTATTAAAAAAAAAGCAAGATTTAAAAAAAAGGCAAATTAATATCTGAGATAATAATTCAGGATATCCAAAGTTATCTGAAACAGCAACTTTTGTAATATTTTGGTGTTTCTTATCTCTGAGGATTGGTGCACCTATCAGGGAAACTTCTCAAAGTTACTTAAGCACAGAAAGTGTGTTCAGTCTGAAAAAGTGATGCTTTAAACTACACATACCAAGCATTCTCCAGAACATCCACACTGATGTTAGTACTGGGTTATAAGAATTACTTTAATTAGGGACATGGAAAAGAGCCTTCCTGCAATGCTTCCCATGGTGGGCTAACTGTATGTGTTAGCAAACTGGGAGAAAGCAGCTGTTTGTAGCTCTGATCAAGATCTTGCTTTACATTTCAATATAAATTTTTTACTTCTCTTGTACCATCTCCTTTGGAATTCAAGGAATTAATTGTAGGGAATGCTAAGGTGGATTGGCGTGTCATGTAAAAATGTTCTGGTTTGCAGAGTGCAAAGTGGGATACAATAGGAAGTTATAAAAATTAGTGGAAGCCAGAATGATAGTAGCTGTGGAAGAAGCTAGAGGCATTTGTACTTCTTCATCAAAATACCAATTGGTTTTAAATTATGATATAAGTAGATGCTTCAGAAAAGTTTCAACAGCTGTTTATCCACAAGAAACAACACTTTCTAACTTGCTGCTGTTAAAGGAAAATTAAAGGCAAGTGTTAAATGAAGACAGAGTAAAGGGAAAGAACGGGGAGGTTTGTAGTCTGGTTGTTAGCCACACAGCTACATTTTATGATACCTGGAGGGCCAGCTGATAAGTGAAGGTGTGTCCCCTTCCGAATCTTTCTGAAGAAACCATTCAGGTTTTGCTTTCCCTGCACTACTATAGAAAACAGAACTTCAGGCAATTTTTGAGATCTCAACACATGCTCCCGTCGTTTCCTCCCAATCTTCCCTCCCCACTGCTTTTTTTGTTTTCTGATTACTCAATTACAGAGGACTGTTCATGAAAATAAAAGCACAGCACGTTAATCAAACTGAAAGGTGGTAAACTACGAAACAATCATATTAATTCCACAACCATCTAAAAGGTGTTCTGAATGTTAAATATTCTGCAAAGGTAACTTTACCAAGTGTACATTGTCCAGAATTTGAGAAGTGAAAGCAATTACACAATCTTATTTTTGCCATTTGCCATTGCAGGTCAGTTTGAAGGGTTTATGTAAGGACACCCAGAAAAGTTGCTAAAAATCCATTCCTTTAATTTGTGGTTTAAAGTGGTAAAGACTGCTGGGTCCAAAATGAAGTAGTAACATGCATTTAATGAAGTCAGAAATTCAGATGGCTATATCATACTTCCTAAGAAATTCACAAGAGCAGCTGGAACTCCTCTGTCCTCTTGTAGCACTGTACGACAAAAGCTTCAGAAACGCAAACCCAGCTAGCTCAAGAAAAACATGCTGGTGTCACTAGGTGACAGGCGAAAGGAAAAGCTTAAAAAACAAAGTAACCCCCAATTTGATCTTGTCTTGACTTTATTCTGTTTCCATTTTGGAGCTGAAAGCATAAAAAGAAACAAGAGCACTGCAAACTTAACAGGAAAGGGCGTCTGCGGACTACCTACGTACAGTTTCTGAAATACTTTCCTATTGCCCACCTTCATCTACAGTCCCTCAGCAACCGTAGATCACATCAAATACTTTTAACCTTGGAAGCACAGACTGTCGGGCCACACTAACGTTTACAAACAAACTCCCCAGAGGTGGCGAGCGGCCAGTCTGCTTTCCATTACCTATAGCTACATCTGAAAGACCTCCTCGTATTGCAGTAGAGCCATTTGGGAGGAAATTCCCAAATTAAGCTCCAGGTCATCTACTTCAATTTTTCTTAGCTGGTCTTCTAATAAAAATAGCTGAAAAAGGTCAAATCAACGACTGTTCTTAAGATAACAGTGCATTTACTGCAAATAAGTTTAAATTTGAGAACTCACCTATAGTTGTCACCTTATCCAAATCAAGCTTAGAACAAAGTCAAACACGGACCGTTAAAACACCTTTTGTTTTTCCAAATGTTTTTGCATTCCTAAAGGAACTGACTAAATAGGGGGTAAAAAACTTTCACAGGAGCTGACCAGGTAGCTAGAACTGCTTTGAAGCAAGCAAACTTCCTTCTCATCTCTTGATGTGTACTTTGGCACATTTTTATAGTGGGCATGGCCCAAGCAGCAATTATTTGTACTTGATCATTCCTCCTTTGAAGAGAGCAGTCAGAAGAACACAAGCCATGTTTTGAATTTAGAGTTAATCAGCCACTTCAGCAGCCAAATGCAGACAATGTCAAATGATACCTTCTCAGCACTTTGTTGTCTTCTCAGTGATGGATAATAGGATTAATTATTAAATCGTCTTAGGACTTAAGGCACAAAGCTTTCATATCTATTCCAAAGCAAGCTGCATTTATTTTCCAATTTGAACTCAGCAAATTTAAATTTAACGAAAACAATTTTGCAAACTACATAATGTGTAACTGACTTCAAAACAGCAGCCACCTGGAAAGCTGGTGTTAGCTCTTATTTTGCTTGTGCAAATGGCCTTATAGGAGACTACCACACGGTAACTTTAAACAGACTGTATGGAAATAGGCAATGACTTCTTTACCACTCAGAAACAGGGACAAGAGTTTCTGAGAGGTTATTCTTAAATCTCTGAATATCACACCAGTGAGTACATACTGGCACTAGAAGCTGTTAGGGGTACTAAAATGAAGAACAGGGCTCTTGGCAACTGGGCCTTTAAAATACCACCTACTGCCTACACGCGTATCCAAACAAGAGACCAAATCCTAAGTTTAAACTCTTGGCTGCTGTAAGAGCTACACCACATCTTGGTGGGTGCACGTGATTTCCTTCAAAAGATAAAACAGACAGTAACTGTGGGAAACCTGTTTTATGCAAATACCGACCCAAGCCTGGTCCAGAAAGAATCTGAAATTAGTGATAAGGCAGTCAGCAATTTGTATTAAGTTATGACTTACTCCTGCTGCTTTTGCCCCAGTCTCATTTGTTAGTACAGCACTACTGCAGAGCAGAGAAGTAAAAACAACCATACCACAAATGGGATGGAGTTTAAACTCTGGAACTGTCCTAACACCAGAACCCACCTGAAAATGGCTCTTACCATTTCATTAGCTGGAAACAGAGAACAACTAAGTCTCAAAAAAAGGAAGACCTTGCAGAAGGGGCCTGCCTCCAGTGCTTGCCAAACACAGCTGACCCTTTAGTGTTTCACACAGCATTAGATCTTGTGGGGACATACAACTTTTAACAAATGAAGAAGTAGGCCCCCATTAAAAACACTGTTTCCTTAATTATTTCTCTTCTGCCCAACTTTCGCAGCATCTTTTATTACAAAAAACTAGGTAATGACAGAAGTGGCAGCTTTAAAAAGAAACAGCTGAAATTTGTGAATGATTTGATAATGCCTTCAGCCTGCTCAGTCTGAACTTGTAAATGGTTTACATTAGAAAAAACACACTTGTTAGCTAAAAATGAAAGAGCTTTATAAGGAGACCTGGTATCTCCACATTAAAGGCTAATCTGTGAATGAGCAGATGAAAACTTTGTACCTTCCTTCACCTTATAAACCAAAGAAAAAAACCTGCCAAAGGTCCATTGCTCCATATCCATTCCTATCAGTAACTGGATTAGTCAAGAGTTTTATCTCAAAACAACCATTTGAAGATAAGGGATAATATTTTGTAGTATTTGAGCTGAGACTGCTTCAGAGGCAAGTTTTTTGGAGCCTGGAATAACCTATTCAGCTCAAGGAGTTTCAGTACAACTCTGGTCTCAGTTGTATGGATGACCCTGCGATGAGTATTTTCCTTACTGTAGTAGAAGAATTGTAAGCTTAAAACATAAACTAAATATAAGATAGTATTTCCTAAGTATGTTGGCTTACTTTCCCTCTGATGGCTTTTTTGAAATGACAATATTCCTTTAAAATTTTGGCTTAATTGGCAGAGTCCAATGAGAGCTCATATAGCCACATATCCACGCAAAAGAAGGTGAGCAGGATTAGAAGTCACCTGAACAATGAAAAGCTATGAAAAACATATTAAGAGACTACTACTGGTGTGTCCTATGCAATAAAGTGAAACAAAAAAAGGCGGGTAAGTACTTTTGAGCAGTTTACAGGCACTCTAAATAGATGACAATCCACCAGGTAGTTAACCTTTGACATGGAAGATTGCTTCCTCATTCAAACTTCAAGGTATGCTTGTATGAGTTAGTAAGAAAGACCACAACAAATAAGAATCAAGTTTTGCGATTTTGATGGGAAGGATAAAGAAGTTCAGTCGAGGTAGCTTGTTTCTGAACCTACTGCAAAAAAATGTCTAAAAGTGCAAACAGTTCAGTTTATGCCAGTTCCTTTCAGTTTTTTTAGAAACAGTCAGCACTGCTCAGCATGATGCAGATGTGTTTACAATTAAGTTCTCATTACAATTTACATCATTTTTAGCTGCAACATTTTAACTGAAGTTTTTGCAGTTATTCTTTTCCATTTATCCACCCACTTAGAAATTAAAGAATCACACTTAGAGAAAATACTACTTTTAAAAAATTCTTAGTCATGCATTGTTTTCAGTCACCGTAACACTTACACAGTCTGTTTTGCACTACAGTGTGAAACTGCATTCTGAAATCAGTGAAAACTATTTTTTTTTTCCCTTCTGGAAGAATCCAGTTACCCTAAATTTGTCACATCTGAAGTAATTCAGCATACCATGAGGGAGGCTACGTTCTCCAAATTCAGCATGGAATTGTAACTCTCCCCTCTGCCCTTTCACCCCCCCCCCCCCCTCCGCCCCCAATATTATCTAAAATATTAACTATCACAGTTCAAAAGGGCTTTTACACTTTCACAGCAGGAAAACAAATCAACTATTATTTCAAGTGACCCAAGACTCTTTTCAGCTTTTAACTCTGAGACTTGTTTTATTTTGGCAGAAGTCATCATGAAGCTATTCAAATCTTCACTGAGAAACAACTTGTCTTTACTTGGAAACCCCCACCCAAACAATTACAGGCTATAGAGGAAAAAAGGAAACTGCTTCAATTTCTAGTTTGTGTCAATATCTTAATCAGTTATTCCACTCACCGCCTCCAAAGGGCCTAATTTTAGCATAAATTCTATAAATATAAAGTGAAACCAAGGACGTATCTAATCATAGAAATAGATACCCACTTCCTTGTATCAGAAACACACTGTGATTCAATAAACCCAACTAATCCAGCCTGAGACACCCAAAGCTACAAAATATATTCTTCAAGGGTAACAAATACATTCTCATAAATACTGTAGACACTGTTGCAGAAGATAATTAAGATAAAGAAATCTACTGTATAAACGAACAAACAAAAGTCATGCTTACCTTTGCCTGATGTTACTGTGCAAGGGCTGGTCATTCTGCAAATGGATTGGTGAGGCTGCCCGCTTTGGTGAAGAAAGGGACTCTCTGGGGGTTTGCTTTGGTGATATTGGCACTTCATTACAGGAGGAAGATTCTCGTCCAGAAAGTGAAAGGGAGACATAACTATCCAAAGTTGCTGAAGGGTCAGAAGCCTGTCTAATGGCACTGTCATGATCTGCTTTTCTATCACTCTTTTCATTTGAGAGGTCTTCTTCATCTGGAACACCATCTTTTTCATGGCTGGAGTACTCTTTGGATTCAGAAATCACACTCTTTGACTCCTTTATCTCAGTCCTGGACAAATACAGGGAGCCACAATCTTTGTTTTCATCATCTTGCCTTTCACTTCTCACTCCCTTTCTTTCCACGCTGTCGGGATCTTTCCTTGCCCGCGTATATCTGGATGAGTAGTCAGAATCCAAATCAGAATCAAGAGATAATCCATATTTTTCTGCCAGCTGGCGCCGCCTCTCTGCCTTGTACCTAGCTATTCTTTCTGCTTTTGACTCTAGTTCCTGGACATCCATGTTTCCTGTACTATACAAGGGCTCTGTATTACCTCCTGTGATTTCTGCTCGGTATCTGGATGATCTGGGTTGTTTTTCTACAGAAGAATCTGAAGTTTCCTCCTCTTCATTTGATCTTCCTGTCAAAAGTACAGCATGTATGAGCAAGTCCATCCCAAAACTCCGGGTATCCTACCCACCATTCACATTGAGTGAACTAAGAGCTTCCCATTTTCTTACAAATCAAAGTGCACTACTGACTGCACAGACATATTACATTTTTGCACTTATGTCTCCAAAAGCACATACAAATGATTAAGAAATGTGTATTAGCTATAATTCTTTAAGAGACTCATATCAATTATTGATGTTTTAAAACAATATGGATAATCAACTTTTTTCAAATAAGACAACTGGAGAATTAAAAGGCAAGTTAAAAAAACCCTGGCCACAGCTCTTCTATAAAACTCTTCTCCATGTACTGCACAAATGATAGGGTAGTAAACATCAAGTAATTCAGCAATGGAAGATTGACTGATATATACTACTTACCTAAGTGGGGACTGTATGGATCAGTTGCACGCATATACCTTGGTGTATCTTCCTCTAGTAAACGGTGTGTGACTGATCCTGGACAGTTTTGTAGAAGCATAGGTTGTGTATCATTTTCAATTCCCTCTAAGCGTCTAGCTATTCTCTCTTTTCTGAAAAAGATGCAAAAACTGTGAAATCAGGCATCTTTGAAGATTTGAGGGGAGAGTTTCTAAGAGGAGGTAACAAAACAAGCTGTGTGTTTTGTTTTACAGGCCGAAGACTTTTTTTTTACCTTTTCATTTCCAAAAAATCTTGGTTGTTTGGTTCAAACAGTTTTCTTAATTCTGAAACTGAGACAACAAAAGATTATACAGTTTATAAGCTACTAAGTTTCAGAAACTCACAGAAACTTGCCAAAAGGCTTTAGAATAAGAAGGAACAGTCAAATAAAATTAAGAGGTTTGAAATAGCTTTTGTCGGGGAACAAGCGTTTTCCTCTTGTTTTCCTAGTTTATTAAGCTTGTGTTGTCAAAAGTGCATTAGACACATAGGTGTAAACACCGAGGAGTCCTTCCCTCCAGGTACCTCTAGGTACCCTCCAGGCTCAGCTAGAATCTGCTATGCATCCTAGCAGTTTTGAAGATGTAGTATAAACTGGGAGAGTTGTATTTTGATTAGCTGAGGTCAAGCTTACACACTATAGCAACCCCTTTCAAAAGCAAGTAGTATGGAATTATTGCTTGCCTTGTCTGCACAAAGGTTGGGGATTGACTATGTTTAAAGAGAAACAGTGTCCCCTATTCCTTACTTTCCTCCACTCCCTTATATTGAGCAAATTCCAAGAATCCCAGTGACTCATAGTTGGAGTGAAAATTACTGTTTACCCTCATGATACTCCTGCATGGTTAATCACTTTCTACTTTTCTAATTTTCCTCTGTAGTTTTAATTGGACATCCTTCTCTTCCCCTGAACTGTTTGGTGGTGTTATGTGCTAGTAGACAGCTGTCACAGTTCACAAAATAGTAGTGAACCAACAGGAGGCATGATAGATGAAGTAATCCCTATATATACACACATGTGCACAGTTATCAGTGATGTTTGCAAACCACACGGGAGCAGCAAGTGCTACATAAACAAGTGTGATGTGACTTCTTACCACCAGGAAGAGAAACCATCCACGCTGTCAAAGGATGCACAGTGTACTGGGTGGTGTGTGTGTGCCTAACCACCCCCTACCTGCCCCCCCATATCATTGCTTTGGCAAAGATGTGGTGCTAAAAGCTGTGTGTACCTATTCTGATGCCATGCACCTCTGGGGTTCTGATCCTGTTGACCCAGGGATCAAAAGTTAAAGCAAACTGAAGTCTACAGCCTGCTAAATCAGCCCTAGATTGCCATCAGAAATGCCTGATGAGTCAGAATTGCCTAGCAGACACTGTTCCACACCACTGCAGAGGTAAATCTATCAGCTTTTTTCCGTGCCAGACTTCATCGCTCTAGATACCTAGAAGATAAACATTATTGAAACACTACCCTTTTAAAGGTCAGATGCACCTTCCCTCCCTTTCCTCTACTGCAAGAACTCACATGCACGGCTAAGTCAGGCTTTCAGCTTAGCTGACACGTACCCAGGAAGTTTGCTGCAGTCAATATCAGTGCTCATACCTCATAGATACAGATAGATACTATTGACATTGGCTGTCATATCAACCTCGTGCTGAAAAGCCACTAGGTAAAATGCCTTGGATCAGCAAGAAATAATGTATTCTGATCACGACTACTCAGAGAAGCAAATGAATGAGGTATGAATATAGTGTCTGAGGCTACAGATGAGTGCCTACTGAGAATGTGCAATTAATAGGGGTAAGAAATCAACTGAGCCACTCTCCAAAACAACTCCTTTAGTCTACATTTTTACAGAAAGCAGACTCAAGCTATCTGCTTCAATTTCTCAAGCCAGGTTAGTCATTTTAGATTTGATTGTAATCATGCCATGAAAAAAATCTAATACATACACATTTGATGCAACTAGCAGTGCAGAGTAGCTAAGTATGCAGCTACTTCACAGTGCTAACCCAAGGGACACCTCTTCCATGCCTAGTTTCAGCATCTGCAGCAAAGCAGATGGAGGCCTACGCTGTTGACCGGGTTGACAGGGCAAGATAGCCACTGAAAGTCAAACTCCAGGCACAGATCTCTGGAGACGGATGGGAACTGGACTCGGGCAATGCAAAATTTGCATCCTGAACCAACAGCAAAGCAAAGATGAACCCTTATGTTGTGTTTTCATAGATATTTCTCTCAATGCGTGAGCAGTTCCCGCTGCTGCCCTGCCTACTCAAGCTGTGCTAGCAGTGGAACTGTATTAAACAGAGAACTTATCCATATGAAACCAGCCTTGCTCTTACATTCACACCAAAGGAAATCATTTCTCTTTGCTCTCACCTCTGCCAAATCTACTTCTGTTCAAGTTTGTTCCTCTGGCTATTAGAGGTTTTCTGTTCCATCTGTTGGCTATACATACATAAAATGGTCAAAACAAACACCATAATTGTTCTGTCACTTCAGACAGGTCAAAGGCCTCCACAGCTCACAGTTAATAAAACCACATTCCATCCAAATCCTGATCATTTTTCTTCCCTATTCACCGATTTATATAGTCCCTAAAACGATCATCAGGAAACAGGTCTTTTACACAGCTTTAGTAAAGCTCTAAAGCACAGCTTCACATTCTAACGTCTTCTTCCCACCCCCCCAAAAGGGAAACTTGACTATAAGTCGTCCGCGTACAAGAAATGTGGAACATCCAAAGAACTCCCAGCAGCATTAGCTCAACACCCTCTTGCTACGTGTTGGCTGAAGTTCCAGAGATTCTACTACCGCTTTGCAGCCCTAAAAAGAGCACTGGCCTCACGAAGCATCTCTCCAACACCTTCCCAAACAAGATGGGACAAAAATAGCATGGGACTACTCTATGCTGCCTTACACTTTTTCCACACTTGAGATTCCAGACAGTAATTTCAGCTAGGTTGGCCAACATCTGCAGAGCTTTTTTGTGGAAGCAGTTTCAGCAATATTCTTCTTCTGGGAAGGTAGGGGGAAAAAAAAAAGTAAAAAAAGAAGATAATATGCAGGAAGTCTTCTACTCGAGTGATTTCTTTTTGCTGAATAAAATGTTTGACTTCAAAACATGAAAGCCAGTTGGAGAAATTTCACTCCCAAGGACACTGTTGGCCCTTGCAAGCTTAGGAGATTGGGTTTCTCTTTTTTAGTTTGCAATTTGAATATGTTGGTGCCAACTTTCCATCTGTTCATGGGATGTTTTTCCACATGACCATCAGAAACTACACCATTTCAAAGACACCCATGACAGCGTTAAAGAATAACAACACTTCTACCTAAAAGGTAGCACAAAGATCTGATTCAGCACACAAGAAAAGACAAAGAAGCTTAAAATAATTAATTTCACAGTAAAAGCTCCTTATCTAAGTCACTTCACACCAACACACTTTCTAAGCACGGTTGGTCAGTACAGTTAAGGGCAACAGGAAGAACAGCCACAGTTCAGGAACAGCCCTGAACTTCACACTTTATTTTCGGGCATTGAGCAGGATGCTATGGTAGGATACCCTCTAAGGTAGACTGTCAAAAGGCATCTTAATTTTGGTTACTTTAGACCTTCTGAGCAGAATTTACCTTATAATACCAGTATTTAGCAAAAGCAGTATTGTTCCATGTCTCTTCCCAGAATAAAAAAAAAACAAAAGTACATTTGGAGTGCACCTTATAAAAATGTTTAAAAGAACTCCTTAAATTAAGGTGAAAGATTTCTTACAGAATTCAGAAATCTCTCAGAAACATTTGTTACAGAATAGAAATATGTTTTTGCTGAAAGCCCTCTTTGATAACAGCAGAGGGGATACATGTGGATAAAGTTGCAGGCATGTGACAGTTTTATTTTTAAAATACAGAAGCTGTAAAAACTAAATCAAGCCTTCCAAAAGTCCCTAGTAGAGAGTGAGCACATATATTTGTGAAGCCTGAATAGATGTGGATCAAAAGTTTACCTGCCAGAGGCTTAATTTCTCAGAGATGGTAAATAACCATTGTAACATAGGTATATACATTTTCATTTTGAGGAAAATTTAACACAATAGTGAAGCCTACCAGCCTTGTTCCTACCTCCTCCTGTCCTCATCTGGAACGATGATGATCTACAAACAAGGTTGGAGAAGCATTTATCTTCTCTTTACGCTAGCAGAGGCATACTAACATGTTCAATGCTTAACTGCAGGCAGCAATGTGTGAGACTTCAGCTAGACTCTTTGAACCTCAGTTCAGTCTGTATCAGTTGAAAATTAAATATATTCCTCTGATTTTCCAACATGTGCAAATCTGCATCAAAGTTAGGCCCTAGATGGGACAAATAACCTGGATTTTCAGAAAAAGTGTTGGGCCTCAAGTAGTCCCCTCAGAATGTAACCATCAGCTCCCACTGCTACCTTTTTCTTAAGTCTGGTACACACCAAACCTGATGCCTTTATTATGAGACGAACTTCTTAGAAAACAGAGACATCTTGGAATACAAATTAGTTCACTGAGAAGCAATTTACAGAGAAGGTTTCTCAAGTGAAGGCTCTCACAATTAACTTGTTGGCCAGCATGATTGTAAGGCTAAGTATATGGAATAATGAGGGACTACATATTCTTACTGACTAGTGCTCTCAGGAAGTCTGTGCTGTATAAATGCATATCACTCTATTCCGTCACTGTGTCAATGAAGTCTCTTTCTAAACATCTGTAATGATTATATTATAAAAGCAAGCACATCACTTAAATATCACTTAAATCTTATGCTGGAAGAAGGGCTCCTTTCTAAAGGAACTCTGCAACAAATGTCATTAAAACAGCAAGCCAGTTATGTTGGGATTAGTGCATCTAGCCTTACAGTTTGCCTGAAAAGGGTAAAAACACCATCAGAACACACACACAATTTTAACTGAAGTTCTGAGATGCACAACATCCCTGAGTGAAGGGAACATCTTTATGCCATTTACACGTAGTTCTTCAGTCAAATGTCACCCTTTACTGGTCAAGAACTATTTCCAAGCAGATTGTGATTCCCTCTACGTAATTTGAGAGAATTAAATCTTGCCTCTACCTCAATTGTGTCAAAAGATGGAACTGCTGTTTTCTTCATAAGTTATTCAGACTAGGACAGAAGTTTAAAACAAACAAACAAACAAACAAAAACCAAACCCATATGTAGTGCAGGTCCTCCAGCATGCAAGAGTAAAATTCAGCGTGTAGTTGGTTGGTCATGCAAGCACAGTGATTCTACCAACCACCGAAGGGGACTGGAAAGAGCTATGACTACAAGCCAAGTTAATACCTTTGAATTCAGTATTAATCTAAGTGTACAAGGAAACCTCTCTGAAGTTTTGAATTTCAACTACTTCTTAACCTATTGAAAACTGGGTAAACAAAGCTGAACTTTATGAAGCAGGGATGTAACAAGACCTTGTAAAAGAGTGTTGTGGTTCATCCCCTGTTTCATCCCCTATGCATACTTCACAGGGAAAAGAAAAAATTCATTTACAAAACACGTGCCTAAGTGATTTTAACTGTGCCTTGCACTTGCATAGGCTGAACTTCACATGCGGTTAAATTACCACTTGTGTTCATAACGTGTCTCCCTTACCTACCTTTTGGAAGTACTGCTAAGAGATTAGCATCAATATCTTTTGTGCTGTTTGCAAGTTCTTCTTTATCTTCAAATGAGAACTCCTTCTGAAAACTGAAAGCAACATCTGGTTTACAGAACTGTGGATGTTTCTGCTACAAATCAAATAAAGTCAAGATGTAACCAATTTACTGCAAGACAGTCTAACAGAGATACCAAAGAAAATATTTTCCATAAGAATGAAATAAGAAATAACCCCAAGAAACTCACAAAGCCAAACCCAACATAATTTGAAACTTGTTTGGAACTGACTGTGACACATTTTTGCATTAAATTACTGACCGGAGACTGCCTTCAAAATGCTCTACTAGCAATTACATTTGAAATAATCTCTATCAAATGATTCTCCATAAATATTAAAACATATTTCATCAAATGCAGTACTGTATGTACACTCCACCTAGAAGCCTTCCACACGACTGCCCTATTGTTGTTACTGCACTGATCTCTGGATCTTATATGGCTTATAATACACTAATATGAGCAGCAGATCATTTAGTTCTATACCTTGTCTTTTCAAAACAGAAAAAATGCCCATTTAGCTGACACAAAATACTTATTTAAATATGTTAATTAAATATACAAAATTTTAACTGTAAAATGTAGGTGTCATAATGGTCTAAAGTAGATACTGTCTAGAGACTTTTTGGAGGAACTGTTCCTCGTGGGTAAACACAGCGAGATTTTTCTCTCCAATTACTAAAAATAGAGAGAAAACAGCTGTATTCTGCCATTATTATACCCCAACCAGGCATAAGAAAACTTTAATACTAGTCTTAAAACCTTCAGTAAACTGCGTAGACAGGTGTAACAGATACAAATCCCCACAGTGATCCTAGGCTCTTCATTTTGCCATGGTAGTGATGTGTCATATGATTTACTATCATTCTGACAACAGAAATTGCACAGCCTTACTGTTGGAAAATCCTTCCTTAGGACGATTTTTAAATGGCTTTTTAAAGAATTGAATACCCTTTCATCACAGCTATTTGGCTAGAAAAGAAAAAATAGTAAAAAAAGAAAAAATTCTGTACTCACTATTCCAGAAGAACATTTCTCATTGAAAAGAGTTTTAACATATAATGACTAACAACATTTTACATGAACTCCAAAAAGTATTTGCTTCTTTATCATTTATAAATAATATTCCTTTGTAAGAAGACATTGAGAAGAGAATAAAACCCTTGAAATGACAATAAAAAAACTGGGCTGTGTCACATTCAGGCACCATGCCACCTGCTGCAAATCATCTCCAAGAACTGCACTTACAGAAATTATTCCAGGTACTGCCAAGAAAAGCAATGTTAGCCACTACAGAAAATAGCAAATAGAAGGTGAAGAGCTGCAAGAAGCTGTCAATTACAGAAAACCGCGTATCCTTACAGGGCAAAAACACTTTAATGGAACTAAACAAAATAAAATAAAAAGATAGCACAGAGCAGCCCCAAGCAAATAGGTGCGTGTGTCATCTGAGACTGGGCAGAGACTCGGACAGTTAACTGTGTGTTTCTATATGCCTAACCCCACATTGCAAACACTCCTGATTCTTATTAGCCTCACAATACGTTACTTTCTTACAGACACAGCTTCTGGAGAACCCCTAGGTCGAGAGACTCCCAGCTTCCATCTGAAAGCAGTTTCTACTACTTTTGGCCGAGGATGAGTTTGAAAAATGTGAATAATAAATTGAAACCAAAATTTATTTTGTCAAATCAATTTGATTACTTAATACTTGTCTCAGAAGTGCTGAGGGACCCAGCTCATGACTTTGGAATACCTGGGCTTTATTTAGCAGCATCTCCAACTGCTTCCATAATGCTTGCGACAGTGCAGCACCTTAAGTTTTCATAAACATGGGACTCTACAGAAAAGCATTCCCCTCATACAGCAAAAATCTTTGTTTAAATTAAGTGCACACTAACATCCATAACTATGCCTCTATCCCACATGAATTTCCAAGGGTAAAATCATACAGAATCAGGACTGGCACCAGCTTGCTGGTTCTAAAAGGAATTGTATTATTGGATTGATTGTGGATCCTCAACAAACTTTTAAATACTGTAAACTAGTTAAGTTCACTCCTGCCCCTTCCTCCACACTTCAGGGAGTTCCAGGGACTCTGAAGCCAGAGACCCTCTAAACCCAGTCTAAATGTCTTTCACTGGGTTTCCATCCATTTGTTCTTGTGCCGGTGTTGTTGGTTACCTTACTTATTTTTCTTAACAGAAGTTTTCCATATCTACTTAGCTTCCTCAAGGCAGGCTCTCAGTTTCATTGATTATCTGTAAAAATGCTCTCTACCTGTTCCAGTTTTGAGTCATCTTTTTTGTATATGGTGTCCAGAATGGGACAGTCTTGATTCCAGACCTAGGTCTTAGCAGTATCTCATAAAAATAGGAATTTTAATAGAGAAAGCATTATTATATGACTAGCCAGATGAATGCCGGGATCAACCACACATTTGCCTTTTTATAACTACACTATATTGGTTGCTCAATCCCGCATGAGAAACTAATATGCCAAGGCTTTGCTTTCATCAGTTGCAAGTGACAGAAAAATTTATCAGCCCCCAATGCACAACTGTGCACTTAGTATTATTACATTACATCCCTTTTCTATTACTCCTCAAGGTCATCCAGTTCTTCCTGTATGTGAGCGCCCTCCTCCTCTGTACGGAGGGTGGCTTCCAACCTTTGCTCACTGGCAGATTTCATTAAAATTCTTTTAATAACCACAAACTTCTTAAGCTTAACCCTCGCTGGGCTACACGGCACCACAGGTTATCTGCTTTGTCCAAGTCTCTTCACAGTTACCCTTATGCCCTCATTTTCCATTTCCCTCTGGACATACTGTCAACTTTTATTTACTTGTTTATTTTTAAATGATTAACTATTTTCATATACTGACTATTTTATCCACAATGGAGGAGTTTTTCCTCTTCAGAAGTATTTTTGCTTTCTCTTGCAAAGCTGCAGGTGGCATTGCTTGTTTTAAATATCTGCATGTTAGAAACACAAAGTCTTTTAAACTGGTGTATCGACTACATTGCTTTAACTTGCACAGAGAATTCAGAGACAAAGCACTGCTCTGAAGATGATACAGTCAAGCCAAACAATTGGGTATTTATAGATACGTATATAAAATTAGTTCTACAAATGAAAGTCGGCATATTTAGGACATGTCACAGTATTCAGTAAGAACATTCATTAGGAATTTAAATTGAGTCGGAATGATGTTAAAGCAATTCCAACTAGTACAAAAAAAAAAAAATTACAGGACAGTACTCATAAGGGTTTTAAAAAAAAATATGCTCCTAAGTAATTCCTCACCAAGGCTTCCCTTTTTCCTCAAAGGGATCTATCTATCCAGATGTCTCCCTGCTTTATTAGTTTCTCTGCTAAAGGAGCAGTTGCAACAACAATTTAGTTGCTTAAGCAGAGTCAGACAATCAGACTAGGCTTGCCAAGTATATTGTACCTTCAAATTCATCCATAACCCTATTCTAGAAGTATCACAACTACATCTACTCACCTTTGCTTAATTTCTCAAGTCACGCTATAAATCTAGGTGCAGATTCCGAGCAGCAGCACCACGAGCTTCTGCACTGAACAGCTAGGCTATGCACATTCATTATTAAAATAATTTAAGGCATACTTGGGTTTCTCTAAATGAAAACAAAACAAAAAACTGTAGAAGTTTGCAAGAACTCTTTCTTCTTAAAGGCCCTGTTAAATCTGGATACTGAAAGAGGAACTTCTCCTCCTTTGCTTGCCTGAAATATAGCCTGGGATCATGGTTCATGAAATGCAATCAACAGCATGAGGTCCCACAAGTTTGTTTCGCACAGGATTTGTGTGTGGTTTGGCCTCAGGTTCCCAACAAACTCATTATACTCTCCAATGTTCACAAATTCCCAAGATTCCTATTAAAACACAGGCAACAATATTTCACAACCTCAATACTTTTTCTTTAAAAACAATGTATAATGTGGCATTAGTAGAGTATTTGATAGTCTCAGTAGTTATACTGCTCTATGCAACTTCCAAAGTAAGTATGGGCTGCTTCTATACATCAGGGATTCCAGGCTGAAAACTTCATCTGCTGCTGCAGCAGCAGCATACAGTTTCTAAATAGCTGTCCCACTAACCTAGTTACATGCCCAAAAGCAAGCAGAAGTTTGATCCAAATGCCACTGGTAACACTGCCCTGCCATCTGGATTAAAGCTATGTGATATACTCAGATTTTGTGATTGGAACACATGCTTGAAAATCCACTTGTATACCTGCCAGCTAGGTGCTTGGTGTTCATTTTTTTTCTCTGTCTACCTCCAGGAGAATTTCCTTCCCTGGACTCTTACGTAAATGGTCCACTCTACAGTCACATCCTTCTCTACTACTCTCATTTCTACTTTCCCCTACCTGCCTTCCATAATGCAATATGTCTTTTACACATATTCCCTCCGTTTCTCTAAGAAACAACACGGCAGGGAATCAGGTGCGCTCCAGAAGGTGCGTGTTTACTGAAAAGATGCTTGCAAACGTCAGCCTGGGTGCCTAAGGCTGGTGGATTCCTATGCAGCTGAGCCAACAAAACAGCTGGTTGCTGGAGCAAGAGCCATTTCCCAACTCCCTGACCTCCTCTCTGCACCATTATGAATGAGTCCAGCAAGCACAAAGGTGGACACCAAAGGGCAGTCTGAGTGAGGATGGGAAGAGAGAGCAAACGTGACCTGCCACCTTGCTTAACTGTGAACTATATCCCCATACTCAGCCTTGTGGAACTGTGCCCTAAGATTACAGGCACAAGGCAGCGTGGCCCTGGCAAGGAAGCAGCAAGTCACCTCTCCATTCATCTCTGCGGTGTCCCCCTCCCGTGTGCTGACAAAGCTCTCTGCATGGCTGTATAATTAATTCACCCACTTCAGCCACCTTCTTTTTCAGACATATCAGTTTTCCAAGCTGGTTCACCAAATGCCTGTGCTGTGTCTGTGCCATGGAAGGAAAAATGGGCATTGCAGTGGCAGGAGGCTCAGTGCAGGGTGGGACTCTTCCCTTAGCAATGCCAGCTATAAATTTTCACATTACTTAGGAGGCAGTTGGTGTTTTTAACACCTGTTCAGAGCATCTGCTTTATGCCAAGGCTTGGTCCTGCAAGAGGACCAATAATCATTTTCCCTGACAAAAGAGTAAATGTAGATTTAAACAATGACTGCAAGTTACAATCATGCAAGCGGTTATCTTCACTGGGCAAGAAAAACTTGACCTTACCTTAACGCTCTCTTCCTTTGGAGCAATCGTGAAGGTTTAAATCTGACTGAGTTTCCTTTGTCAAAATCTGTGAAATGAAAAAAAACCACACCATAGTGAAGATGCTTTAATAAACGGGAAACTTTTCGGAAACTAGGTTATACTCTCCAATCACAGTCCTTTTCCACTGGAAAAGACTGTACAAAGGCCTTCCCTCTAGTCAAAGGAGGATAACCTGGCATGTCCAAGATGACAATAAACCAAAACGTTGCTAAAATGAGTACAGACAGTAAACACATCAAAAGCGTCAACGCTTTATGGAACTGCCATGTTCTAATCTAATTCACGGTGTAGCACTGCAGCCTGGGGCTATCATTTAAACTCCTTGACTCAGTTTTCCAGCCTATAAAATGGGCGGCAGACATGTTTATGAAGCACTCTGCAAATGAGAAATGCTGCAAGTAGCAAGAGTCTTTTGGCTGCAGCCTACCAATACTATAAAAACTGCATATTCACTGCAGAAGGCAGAGATGCCCAGCTGAGGATCTGTTGCAACGACAGTATTACACTATCCAAGACAGAAATATTTCTGAAGGTTGTCTACTGTTTGGAAGCTCCCATTTTTTCCGGAATTGCCTTAGAACATGCTTACTTTCAGAGAGGAACATGTGTTTACACTGAGAGCAAGACTGTGTCAGATGCAGCCTTATATTCAAAAAGTACGTATTATAAAGCCACTAGTTCCCAAACCTTTGTGAACCATAACAAGCAATGGGCAATCTCCCCCCTCTCCCCCCAGATTTAACTTTTTCATTTCTGCAGTCAAGAGCATCATCAGAGGGTGTAAACAATGACCAGTGCTCCAAGAACCGGCTGCCTCCATTCAGCAATGAGGATGCTATTAAGAGACCTTGGAGAACTGCTCGCCAGGGAGCAGAGGAGCACCTGGTCTGTGACTGTTGTTGAAAAACACATGAAGCTACTAATAATTTACTCCCAATGGGAAAATTGCCTTCCGTACCATCTGTGTTAAGTCAACTACCCCAAAACCCTAAATTAATAAACAATTGGTCACTGACGCAGTGTTCATTTTATTTTTCAAAGACAGACACAGCCTGGACTTTAGAACGTTTCAAAAGCAGCAACATCCCTTTTACTTTACCTCAGAAATGAGATTTAACTATTTCAAAGAAGAATTAACTGGCAAAAAAATATTTTTCGCTTACACAAAATATTTTAAAATCTTGGTAGGATGTTTCTTATTTTTGCAGAAAGGGTTTAATGAAACTTATTATAGCTGACAATATAGGTCTTAATTTAGAGAATGTATCTTTTGTCTATGCCTTTCAAAAGTTTTCACCCTCCTCTCTTCCACTTCTTTCTGCCATCTCTCCAGGTAAACGCATTAAAAAAACAGAGAGAAAAGAAAAAGTAAAAGAAAAAAAGACCATTTTAACAGCTTGATAAAGAGGCTTAAAATGTGCAAAACAGCATTTTTTAGGCATCTGCTACAAGTCACTGCAGATTTCAAGCAGCTTTGCTAATAGCATTCTTCAACTTTAATAGGCAACTTTTTCCTGTTTTTGTTAACATTCATTTTCTCTTTCCAAGTAAATGGAGAATAATGCATGCGGATTACACAGAAACATCTTGTTAAGACCAAAACAGAGTATTATAAGAAAAACAGTATGAATGGTATATAAATCATTATATTTTATACTACAACATTAAAAAGAATACTCCATGCCATAAGTATCCTCTAAAAAGTCCAGATTTACATTACTGTGAGAAGAGTATGTAGTAACTTAAAAAGCCCAGCTCAGTATCAGCTCAGCTAATCAGAACCAGGAATATCTTAAATTTATAGCCATTCTAGCGGGTTATAACCCATGCTATAGTTTTTGGCACTAAACCAGCTGTCCACCATGAAAACCACAGGCAGACCACAGAGAAATTCTCCCTACCCTAGCCAAAACTGGAGAGGGGATATGAGAAGGGAGGAAAGTAGCTTTCATTGCTTTGCTGGGAGAAGGGAGGGAGAAGGGCTGCTAAGAGGGAGCACACAAGCCGGTCTGACTCTTGCTACCCATTAAACACATTCAGTAACATTCATACATACCACATCTATAATGCCTCAAAAACATCTTAAAACTTTGCTGTATTTCACAGGGGCGAGCTCCTCTCTTTGCCCCCCACAAACACAGAAAATCCAACCAGACAATTATATTTTGTTATACAGTTTTGATATTTTATGTATTTCCTCCTGTTCAAATTAAACCCCATGTGGGAGGATTAAGTCCAATAAAACTTACTTACTACAATATGGAAGTCTTAAAATTAAATACAAACGCAGGAGAAAAAGTAAAACAACTCTGCTTCAAAAGAAAATAAATATGCCCACAAGAGAAACATCAGTTTGACACAGTCTTAATTCAATAGTTAAAGAAAAAACCCCACCCTCACAGTACCCGATACACAGAAGGAAAATCTTTGCAATAGCATTTTGTTCCTTCTTTCACTGAAGAATTCTAAACATGCTCTCAATCACATTAAAACAATATTAAATATTTGTATTTAAAATTAAGACTATATTTACTGAAGTGTAAATCAAACTTGCTCACAAGTTTAACCATTTGTTCAATCTAGTCCCCCTCCCTCCTAGATACAAACTAGCAGATAAAACAACTATCCATAGTTTAATACGTAGGAAATTAAAAATGCTGAATTTAAAAAAAAAAAAAAAGAAAAGTAGATGCAACCTTCCAGTATTACTTAGTATATTTAAAGGCCCTAAGTCAGTGGCAAGCTAAGCTTATTAAAAGATCCATCTAATCGGATCTTTCAAAAGTGTCCTTTAGGAAATAATGAAATAACCTAGGTGACTAACTGCATACCGATTGCTAAAGCAGCTAATGTGGCTGCAGAAGATCCAGTCAAACAATATTTACACATGCATACTTATATACGAGAGAGACTAAACACACACAAATGAACTGCATTTTCTTCTATTTACTTGGAACTCTTACCTTGCTCCTCAGAGTGTTTAACATTTCCCAAATAGCTGGAGATCCAAGGATTTCTGAACATGGTTGCACAAACAAAGGATTCAGCAAAGAGAAACTACAATAGCAGCTAATTCTCAACCAGCCACAGCCCTAGGCCTGTCTTAGCAATATCGTGTAGAGATTTTTCATAGCACAGGAGTGGAGCTGTCAGGCTATCGCGTCCCAGGGAGTACAGTAAATGCATAGCAATAGGCTGCAAGCTGGAGCAGCTCAAGCCAGTAATCAGATTACAAACAGAAATTAGGCACATGAATGCTAAAACAGATTGGGCAATGGTGATTGGGAGATTTATAATATTACCACTTCAAAGATACGGCCAAATCACACATTATATTCCTGCAAAATGAATGCAGAACCCCTAAATCCTCATATTAAAAAACAAAAACAAAAAACAAAAAAGAAAAAACCTCCAAGAGGAGGAATAATTCCTTCCTATCTCTAATCAGGATAAACTGCAATGCTTGTTTAAGAAAAACACATCCAGGCTGCCAAAAAAATGGACTCTGTTAATCATATCATTATGCTAAATGTTTTGCCTAACTATTAGTTGGAATGTTTGAAACAGACAAGATTTATGGATAACATATGAGCAAAATTACTGGTGGGGGTGGGGATTTAAGAATAGACACCACAGCTCCAAATATTTTAATTTGAGACAGAAGGTGTAAAATTGCACAAAAGTACTGTCTAGCTACCATATTTTTTCATTAAACAGATTTGATGGATTTTGGATTGAAGAGTCAGAACCCTTTATAGTTCATTTTGAAAGTCTGGAAGTATTTGTTCCCTCCAACAGACTTCTTTCCTTCAAAAAGACTTCAACTAGTATCAGTAGAAAACTCACCACAAGACTGAGGTTGTCAGGACCGTGAAAAAGTAGCCTAGAAACACAAGACTGAAGTTCTTGACTTTTCTTACCTGTTTTTAGGATACCTTGTACAACAAGACCCTGATCCATGCTGGAACCTCTACGTACAGGCAAAACATAAGCAATGATGCTGTGAAAGAGACTCCTTAACCACAAGTGAAAAACATCATCTATCAAAAACCTATTAATTTCTGCTGGCTCACCGTGAAGTTGTATTTAGCTTGTCTAGGTCATCAAAACACTGCTTTTCATGCTAGCAAGTTCTTGCAATGGGTAGAAGAATATGTGCTCCATCTTGTCTCATGCCCCTACCATTTGTATTAATTTATTCATTCTTAACGTGAATAATGTTGGAGTCACCTTAACAGAACACCTTTTATTAGCTGATCTTTCAACAGTACGGAGCAGCCTGGAACAAGAGTCACCCAACACACAGAACATGGCATTGAAGCATCTGACTCACCAAGTAATATCCTCTGCTCAGAAGTATCTCATGGTACATACCACATTTTTTTCTTTGCCTGTAACGTTACTGGCTCTCACGTTTAATTCTAACCACTTCACAGCACTACCCATAGAACATAAATCGAACAGTGCTGTGCTCTCTTGACCAGCTGTGAAGGCCTACATGTACTCGAGCCTAGCAAATACAAAAGCAGCAACAAAAAATGGAATCTGTTGATGCCGGTCCAAACTTGCCATTAACCTGAAAATCCACTTTATGGCCTAGACATAAGTGCAGGTGTGCTTAAAACACAAAAGCAAGACGGTGCAGAAATAACAAAGCTGCTGCTGCTGACAGCTAGTGGGGACACTCTGGACCAGTATCTGTGTGGGTATATCAATAAAAGAGATGCCCAGTTCTGAAAAGGTCCCTTCTTTCCGAACCCTGCCTGTGAAGACTGCTTACTTGATCTTGTGAATAGAAACATTATTACCTGGAGCATTTTTAAGCACCTGTAACTCATCTGGTAACAGTAAGGAAACTGTTTCTCATAAAGTACAGATAAATAACACTCATTTGATAAATCTCGTGGCTGCAGCCTGTAGCAAGGTTGAAGAAGTTAAGACTTGACAGCTGAGCTGATGTAATAGCTCACAGCTGCCAAAAAAGACAGTCCTACCTGTTTCTCTCTGCAGGACCTCTGCTA